CGTCTTTTTTTCTTGAATGAAGCTCTTGATCTGTTTTGGCTCTAGCAAGTTTATTATCTCAATACCTTCTTCTGTAAGTTCAAGGCTTTTTTTATCTCCTCTAATCTAAAACTTAAATTCATTTGTTTCGCCTCTGTCACGATTTTGTAGATTAAGTTTTGCTTGAGGCATATTTTCCTCAATCTTGCTAGTTCCAGGTCTAGAATGTATTTTGTACTTTTGCAATTTATTTGTGCTTGCCGAATTCTGATCCATATAGCTTCTCTAAGATCACCTCGGCTATTTATTCATTTCCTGAGCTCTGTTACATGATGTACTATTTGGTTTTGCCAGATTGTTTTTAGCTCTGCTATGTTTTTGTGCACTAGTATAGCATTGGCTAATATAATGGCCAAATCAGATTTATTCTTTATCAACTATACCAGAGGGCTTTGCAATCTGTCGCACTGTTCTTTTACAAGGACACTATGTTGTAGCCTATACTCCAATCTCGGCAATAGTACTCTGTTGTTGATATAAATTAGCTATGCTAGTGTTGAACTTTTTCTTGCTAATGCTTTTATTATTGTATTAATTTCTTTTCTGGCAATGTCTAGTGCATGGTGCTGGCTAGATTTCTTGAATAGCCATACTTCCAGAAATCTTGTTGGTTCGTTTGACTTTTTCTCAATTACTTTTTCTTTTGTTAGTCTGATTTCTATACATTTTGACTCTTGCTTCTTTCTCCCTCCTCTAATTACCAAGAGCTCTGATTTTTTGCTATTTATTTCGATATCATTTAATCTATAAAATTCTTGTGCAATTTTAATTGTTTCTTCTAACTCCTGCTTGCTGTTTGCTATGAATGTGGTGTCATCTGCATAAGTGATAACTGGGATCCTCAGACCTTGTTGATGAGCTAGTTCTTTCTAAGGTCGCTTGGCCACTGTACTTCTAACCTATAACCACGCTCAGAACTTTCTTGTATTTCAGTTAGCAAAGAGTCATAAAAGATTCGCTACACCAAGAGGGATATTACTTCTCGTTGATTTATACTATCGCCTGCTACGAATCTCTCTGTTGTAAATAGTAGATTTATATTTTAATTTATAAAAATTTTATATTTACTAATAAATAATTTTATAGTTAATTAATTATATATATATACTGTATATTTAATAAATATTCAATAAATTATTTGGTGAATAAATTAAATATTCAAATATTCATTTGGTGAAAAAAATCTTATTTGAATATTCAAATATTTAGTGAATATTCGAATATACTATTTATTGGATCAGACCTCTAGTTAATTCAGATCTATATAATTATGTTCTGCTGATTTTAAACTTTTTCGTAGTCATAATATCAAAATTTTCTCCTTCAGCTTCGATGTTTTGATCAAATAATATTGAATCGTGGTTTATTATTAGTGCTAATTGATGATTCTCATCGTAAGTCATTACTGCAGTAAATTTGTATTTGGTACAAAGAGTACTTATATAGTCATATAAAAATTGAATTCCTACTCTCTGTCTCCATAAATAATAAGGGTTGCTTCTATATATGATCTGAATACCAATAGCTATTCCAATATGTCATTGAATTTGCTATATGAATTCCTTTTGCAGATTGATATAAAACCTCCTTTTACTATTTGTAGTAGTGTTTCATCATGACTGAATTTTATATTCGTTTTTAGGTTTTTATACACAAATTTCTAAATATTCACATACGAACTTAATGCTAAAGCTTTCTACATTTGAGTTGTTAAGTTTGGTTTATATGCTAATATTTTAATTATTTTTTGACCTTCAGACCAGTTTGTAACCTACTATAATCTTATACTTTCTATCTTAGCTAGTGTTGGCACATAACCAGGTCATAACAGATCATATCAAAGTTTAATTAGTAAGATTATATAACTATAGTTATATGATTTTATTAATTAAACTTGGTAATATAATCTGTTATAACCTTGTTATATAACCTTAGTAATTGAACTTAGTGATATGACTTGTTATGATCTAGCTATATACTTTATTGTGATATGATCTGTTATAACTAATCATAACAGGTCATATCAATAAAGTTATATAACAGGTCAAAACAGATTATATCACTAAGTTCAATTACTAAGGTTATATAACAAAGTCATAACAGATTATATTACCAAGTTTAATTAGTAAAATCATATAACTATAGTTATATAATCTTACTAATTAAATTTTGATATGACCTGTTATGATCTAGTTATGTGCTAATACTAATTTTAGCTGCTAAAAGATCTAAGAAATCTTCAATGACTAGTATTTGTTTAATTGTGCTATAATTTATTGCCAGGAATCTGTGATTACTTTTCTTACTTAATCATAGTTTATTTAATTGACTCTGATTTCTATTATTATCTAGTATATTGTTTATATCTACAATGACTTGTGCTGGGGTTGTATTCATTATCATGTTATTAAGTATTAAGGTGGAGAGTAATTACCTTGATGTAACTTATTTTTTGCATTTGCCATAGAGCTCATCATTGCTAATAATGTGTTATGCACTTGGTTTTCTTCTGTGTGTTGATTATTTCTAGAATGACCTTCTGTACTGGCCCAGTTCATTTGCCCAAGTTGATTAAAGTGGTTGTTTATAGTCTGCTGAAATTGCTTGTTCTAGCATCTTTGGTTTTTCACTTGTTGATTTATTAATTTCTTTATCTTGTTCACAATTAGGCATGTATCATTAATATAAGTTTTTGTTTGAGATTGATTTTAGTTGTTTTATTATCTTTAGATAATTTTTTTTTTTATTTCTAGTGAGAACCCTTGCTTCGATAACTTCTAGCCCAAGGAGTTTGATTTACTACATATATTACTTATACTCACTAGCAGGACTTAAAACTTTATACCAAGCATATACAATTTCTTATAGTCATTTGTATTCGATAAGGTCTTCCCATGTCTGGCTTATGTTTTCGCCATTAGCTCCTTATTTTTACATGCCTTAGTTCTGTAATGCTTGTAGCTGCTTCACTTTTCGATCACATAATCTTTTATTACTTCGCATTATAATATAATACATAGTATATAGTATTAATATAATATGTCATATTTGTATGTAATAATATATAGGGTGTTATGGCCTAAGTTAAGCTTAATTCAGACTGAAATTCAATTTTACACCCTGCATATTATTATACTCAAATATAGTAAAAGATTTTTTTATTGAGTAATAATGTAAATTTTAGTATATATAATTTAACATAAAAAAAATATTTAAACTGTATTTTTTTTTAATAAACATCTTTGTATCATATTCTGTTTTTGTATATGCTGCTATTTTATAGATGATAAAGCAGCTCTTTTTCTATGTTTTGCTGTGATCTCCTAAGCTCTTACAACTCTATATCTAGTTCTTGTTTTTTACATCGCTTGCATATGCTTGTGCAACTCTTCTTTTATTTATTTTATTATACAGTATAAGTAAGTTATATTTTAATATGAATTTGTATTTATAAAAAAAATTAATATATTAATTTTATTTATTATAGTATATAATATAGCTATGTAAGTTTAGATTCATATAACAAAAAATCAGTATTACAAATTTATATGTATTATAGTTTCATCAATTATGTAATAATGACATGTAAATTAATTCTATAGTTAGAGAATTATACATTAAAACAACAATAATGAAAATGATCAAATACTATAGTACAGTATCTGAATCAAATTAAGATGTTTTTAAATCTATAAAGTAAACATTCAAATATATACTTTTCATAATTATTAACAATGATTAGAATACCTGAAGTATTTTGCAGATCAGTATAGTATAGGTGGGCAGATTAGTATAATATAGGCCGATTTTTAGATCTATACTATACGGACCAGGTATTATATATATGTATGTGCGTTAGTATAATTTTGCAGATCCGTATAGTATAATTTTAAAAATTGGCCTGTACTGCGTATACTGAACTGCCATACTGATCTGCTATAATTTCCGTTTTATGTTGTATATTGGATTTTTTTTTTTTTGCATGGAAATTACATTAATATGGTAAATGTAAAAGTCCTTATTCTAAGATTGTTGCACACTTTTATAGAGCCATAACGATAATTCAATTTTTAAATGGTTTAAAATTTAACCTTAAACTTAGCTTATTAGTGATATTCAAAAATATATAATATACTATATGGATGTATACGTATATACATTACACATATTAATCATGTGGTATTAATAAAACAGTATGATTGGTAATTTTGACTTTAATATATAGATTATGAGTAATTCCGGCCTAATTTTTTGATCGTCGCTCTTAGCCAATCAAAATCGAGGGTCTGCCGTGTGCGGTAAACGCGACTTATAATGTTATTAGCAATAATGTTGGCCAATCAAATATTATACAAACATTATACAAATTATTTGTTTCGATTTGACGAACAAATGAACTTTAAGATGAAAACCTTTTTATTTAAGAAAACCAAATCGATAACTTTGTATGTAGTGAATATTTCAAATTACAAAGTTATCGGTGCATGAAGTAGAATAGTTTTCAAAATGTCTTATCCGGTCACATGATTATCAATTATGCACCATATCGAATATTTCTAATGATTAAGTATAAATAAGACACTGATATATTAAATAGTGATAGTGATAGACAAACCATGGATTCGGCGAGCTCTGGCTCAGGGATCACAGGACCGACACTTTTCTGCGACATGGCTAGGTTTGTTGCAGAAAGCTTTCATTTCGTTCCTCAGCACCAGCCAATAATATATCACTATATATAAATTTTAAAATCATAACCGAGTCTTAACACTAACTTTACAAATAAAAATTTCACTACGTATACATACATCACACCTTCACCATATAATGGTTAAAAAATTAAAAGCCTAATCTCTATTATTCTAATAAATTAACTATGAAATTTAAAATACATTCGATTTAATTTCGAATTTACTATGGAAATTTTTAATGTATATTTGATTAATTCATGTGATACTTTTTCAGGTTGCTGTTTTTGTAGGTATTGCGGGTGGTGGTGGTTTATTCCGTCTTGTAGGTACTGGTGCAGTTTTGACTTCTTCTAGATAATTACTTGGTACCCAACCTTGATCATCATTCATTTTTGCCAACCACCATCCATTATCATCTTTCTCTATAATTTCTAGTGTGTCTCCTTTTTTAAATTGTAATTCACCAGAATCATCAGTGGCAAAATCGTAAGTTGCTTTATACATTTGTTTTGGTTTTGCAGCTGGAGGAGGAGGAGGGGGTGGTGCGGGTTTTCTTCCTGATGATTGACCAGTTAAATTTTTACCAGACACGGGTGCTGAAGGTTTATTTGCATTTGCTACTCGTTGAGTTTTCGGTGCGCTAGTCGAAACTGACGTTTTTGATACTCCAGGTTTAGTAGGCCTACTATTTTTTGGTTTTTTCGAAGTAGTTGAAGATGATGATTCTTTTCTTGGACAAGGGGGATCTGATAAACTATTTGATGGCTCTCCAGAGCAGACAGAAACCGTATGACTTTTATATACATCATCCTTGGCATTTTCGTCTTTAATAAATTTCATTGTAGCTGTTTTGTTAATCTTCTTAGTATATTCAATTGATTCTGAAATGTTAACATCAAATTGTGTTCCTTTAAGTTGTGATAAGTGCGTTACAAATTCAGTTTTGAAAAGGCATGAAAATATCAAATCTCCTAATTCTTTTGTTGGATTATTAATATGTAACACCACCCAATCGTCTCGCAAATGTGATAAACTGGCACTCTTAATAGTACCAAGAAGAATTTTTCTTTCAACATTCATTGTCAATAGCTTTTTTTCAAGTGTTGAAATAACAATATATATTGCTTTGTTTGTCTAATAAAAATAATAATGATTATCAAATATTAAAATTTTCCTGAAAATAATATAAACAAGTTGTAAATAAATACCATAATTAACATTCTTGGGCTTGGTTTACTGGCTCGACCAAAACGAGCAACAAGAAGTTGAATCTTACTACTGAAAGCCACATTTTCATTATCTAAGATATAAAATATAACAATTTCAATAAATAAACAAAATAATTATGGGTAAATCAGTTTGAACATACCTCCAATATCGCAGGCATTTCTCAATGCTTCGCCACTGCCTCCAGGTACATTGACAAATAAATAATCACCCATAAACTTTCGCATACTTAACAGACTAAACCTTCGTCTTTCCTTCCTTCCATCTAATATTTGATGACCATAATCACGTAGCTGAACATATACGATTTGATCCTTATTCTTTTTCCAGCATCGTTGTATACGTGTTGCACATTCATTTTTATAACGAACATAGTTGCGATAAGCACGTTGAATTCTTAATGCCATGTTATGCCAGTATCGATCTCTAAGGTGTTCAAGTGCCCAAATCTACAAATAAATTGGTTATAATGCTTGATAGATATAGTTAACAAAAGATTTGTAAATTTACAGAATCACACCGTTTCAGGATGTCTAATGAAAGCTTTGGTGACACCCATTTGCCATTCTTCAGCAACAATTCCGCAGTCTTTTAAAACTCGTTCTGCTCCAGCTTTCGGATCACCTTGCCAAATATATTCACCAGCATACGATGTCTTCTTTGATAATAAGTAGAACCTATTTTCAAGCAATTAGTTAATTATATTATTAGAGTATAATCAGAGTATAATTAGAATATAATAAGAGTATAATAAGAGTATAATACGCCCACAAATTCCTAACCAACTTTCATTACCTTTCCAAAAATTTTTCAAAGGTTTGTCGATAAGCGAATCCAGCTCTTCTTACTCGAATATTTTCGTTAAGCCCGAGATATTTGATTTGGTGCATTACCATTTTTTGATCATATTCTGATGGACTTTTATTTTGATTTGGTTTTATAGTTCGAATATATGATGGACGAGCTTGCATTAAATTAGTAACTAAAGCATTTGCTGATGACTATAGCAAAAGATAATATATTAATATCACAGTAAAAATAATGTCGATAGGCACCTCAAGTTATAATATATCGAATTACCTTAATTTTGTCACCAATGGTAGGTGGTCTCTTTTTATTGTCACGATCAACTTTATTTGGAAACAGTCGCCCCACAAATTTATTTCCGCTGCTTTCGATCAATTCTAACAAATCTTTTACTAACTGATCTTTATTTTTATCAGTCATACCTGCTATTGTATACAAAACATCCCCAGCATAATGTTTCACCAAAAACTTGCTACCTCTAGATTCAAAATGTGGATTTGAACTCAGAAAACCCAATCTTTGAACAAATGAGTTATCAGCAGCTTCAGAATCAGCATGCGCGGTAGCACAAGCGTCATTCAATGCTGCGAATATACCAGGTGGACGTTTCCCCTCAATTAAATCACATACAATTTTGTTATCAAAAAATTCAATAGGAGTCCACTTAATTTTTTCTTTAACATACTCTTCTTGTTCAGTCTTAAGAGTAAGTTCAATAAAAATCTGTTGGAGCTTCTCATTAACATAATTAATGCATAGTTGCTCAAAGCTGTTTTCTTCAAAGATTTCAAACCCATAGATATCTAGTACTCCTATAACGTAGGATGCTGTAGTACGGGATCGTAGAGCAGAATTAATACGCTCCACAATCCACTCGAACAAATTATTGTATATTGCTTTTGCGAGGGCGTCACGTACAGCAGATGCCTTAAAAGAGAAAAACAAACTAATTTGTTACGAACTAACAAATACAAAAGTTATACAAGAATCTATGATTATTTACCAACCTGTACTGTATTCAAAGGAACATCATATACTGAACCCCGACGTCCACCACGGGATGTTTCAATGGTGCGATTAGTCAATGCCTATTAATATAAATAGAACAAAAAAATAAATAAATATTTGGCCTAAAATCAATGTAATTATACAAGATACAAAGTATATATACTTTAGCAAGAATTTCACCATCAACTTCCATGATATATGCTATAAAATTTGTAACTTCTTCATCACTAAGGACAGCATTCCCATCATTGCCTTCTTCAAACTGTACGTTTCCCAACCATAAAATAATTGCCAACATTCGAAAGATATCATCTTGTTCATTTTGTGTCAGGCCAATAATATTCATCGCTTCCTAGATTTTCGTACGTAGAAAAATGCAAACAAAAATAATATATGATCATTACAATGTTTCTTAATCAATAAGCGTTTGATACTACTTACTATTGTTTCAGAATAATCCTTAGTATCATCAATGCCATCAACATCCAAGCATCCGCTTTTACAAGTATATAAATAACTTTCAGGACCTTGTATTCCGAATTGTTCTGCAATTTAACAAAGCATTATGAATAAAATAATAATAATAATATTATTATTATTATTATACTATGTTCAATATTTATTTAATTAAAGCAAACCTTGGTATTCAGTAGAAGCTGCTGCCTTAGTAAATTGATAAAAAATATGAAAATTACGTTCGTTCTCAATTTGTCCAACAACACGCCCCTATTTTAAATACAATGTCTAAATATATAATTTTTTAAGGATTGCATAAAATAGAAAGTAAATAATAAGTTATAATTTTACCTTTTCTAATAAATAATTTGTAATAACAGCGCCGACGGGTTCTCCTACGGAATTAAATTGAATTTCCAAATATTTCCCCTGAAAATGCAATATATATTTATACAAATTTTTTTGTACGAAAACACACCTTTATAAATTAATAAATTATATACAAACATGCCGACTTGAATTATTATTACGAAGAGTTTTAGCACAGCCAAAACTTTCCAATAAAGGATTTGTGGCCAAAACCATATCTTTAATCTCTTTAATTTGAGATGATGCACCACCGCTTACGGTTGCAATATATTGCATAATCTAATACGAATTGGATTACATGATTAAACGAGTATATTTTTAAAATATTTGATCAAGATGAAGATACTAGAAAATACACATACTCTTTTGGCGGCCTCTATGTATATGTTAAAAATGATGATTATTTGCGAAAATGAATTAGCAATATATAACTATAAATATGGTTACACACCAGTTTTTCCGGCGCCAGATTCGCCACTATTAACAGAAATTTGAAAAATACTAAATTACAAGAAATATCCAAAGTTTTTTAGGCAGAACAGTTAATACCTGATAATTATACACTGATTTTCTTTATAACTATTCATGTTGTAATAAGCTGATTCAGCAATTGCATACACATGGGGCGACATCTATGGAATAAAAATATATTAATTGCTAATGAATGGTGAATAGTAAAGGGGATAGAAATTGTATCTAAGAAATTTCTAAATAGTACTTCAAGCAAGTTTTTTCCCATATAACTTTTCAATATTTGATCTGTATAAATACCCAAATCTTTGAATGGGTTAACACTAATAAGCACATGTCCAATATATGTCTTAATTAAAAGAAAGAAAAAAAAAATTAGGATATTTTTAACGGCTAACTGAATGGAAAAAAGATTAATTATCAAGTGTCGAATCTAGATTTACGTACATAAATCTCATGATTTTCGAATCTTTTCTTCAAATTTTCGTTAATCGCATCATTATTAACTTTGCTCAACATGGTCATGTCGGAGACCCCAACTTGTTTTTTGTTAAATTTTTCTTTCCAATCGGCTTTTTCAATTTTCTTTCCTGAACTCTTACTGCTACCCTTAGCGGTACCGCCCGCTGCGGTACTATTACGTTTGGTTTTTTTTGGAGGCTGTTTGTCAAAATGAGGAAAAGTTTATTAAAGAAATAAGTGATAATTGCGAGAAATTATATGCATTTTTCTTTTACTCACCATATTTTTTTTTTAGTACTGTTAAAGATATTTCATGTATTTTATGCGTGTAATTTCAGAATTTTTAAAATAAATCCCGGACCACATTAAAGTTTTTATTACGTAACTCTTTTACTCCTATAATATTATTGGTTAATTATGAGGCGCAGTTAAGGTGTCCTTTCATACAAAAAAAAACCAATTTCAATTTTATAGCATTTCACTTTTTATAATGAGTATAAATACAGATCTCGCGACAGAGTTTAAAACATCACTCCTAAACGCTTTACAATCTCGTGAAAAATCCGAGCAGGTATTTCTTACAAAGATTGTTTGGTTCTCATAACCTGATCTATAAATACTTTTAAACTTTTGAAATTCACATAATTTACTTTTTTCTGAAATATTGTGGCATAAAGGATTTATTTCAATCTCAATCCTCAGAAGTGACATTTGCCGGGTACATAATTATTATAATTATTGTTATTATTATTATTTTTATTATTTTTCTTTGCCATTAAATATCAAAAACTCAAGATCACGATCATTTCGAACTGTTGATATTTCATTTTGTATACCATGAAATTAGAATTTTTGATTCTCCGTCAAAGCGATCTAAAAATGATAAAATTAGTGAAAAAAAGGATGATTTTGAGTTAGTATTAGATACTTCAGATGATATAACTAAACTAGTTCAAGAGTTTTTCAAAGCTTCGCTGGCAGTTGGGAACACGGTATTTATCTATTTTAAATCATAAGTCGGAGAATTGTTATTGGCAATCGCGTAAAATAAATATTTAAATCTCCTATTTAAATTTATTCAGGGGGAGCTTGTAAATTATATTATATCGTTGCTCACCATAGATCCTCCGACTTGGGAGCGTATAACTCTTATTTTATCGATATTTAATGGTCTAATCACTGACACGCCAACAACATTTGGGCTGTTATTAGCTCTTGGTGGCGATATTTCACAACAATCTTCTACCCTCCAGCCTGTTATGCATATCACAATTCCACAGATTTTCAAAGATATTGCAAGACTTCTTGATATTTCATGTACTGAATTGTGGATGGGCGTGCTTTCATTTATGCGTACTATTCTACAACAAAATCCTAGAGCCATGGTGGACATTCCACCAGAACTAGCTACTGACATTATTAAAAATATTTTGCAACAAATTGATTTACTTCCATCATTTCTCGATAAACAAAAGTATAAATGCGTTGAAAAAGGACGTCAGATGATTGAAACCTTATTAATTGGTAAAGATTGTGGAGGTACCGGTTGTGTCTCACATTATCAGGTCATTGAACAGGTAAGAGTAATATAGTTTATTGTACGTCTGATGATGGATGTTTAAAATTCAGTTTTGGATTATCCGTTATAGCTGCAAATAATATACGGAATGCCTGTTCTTGGACGTTTTATCCATGTTCATTGGTCCATGGAACAATTTGTGAATGAGTTATGTCAACGTCGCAAACGTCTCGCATTTTTGATGATGCCACCCGGTAATTGTAATATCATAATAATCTAGCGAAATATTCACTATTATTCTTATTTTATTAATTAACTATTTACAGACGCATCATGGCCATTAATTTCCCAATACAGGTTAATAATGGTGTTAATACTATTTTGATTAAAAATTAGATTATTGTTTCATATCAATTGATACAAAATTTTTGCTTTTCATTAGTCGACCTCATGAATACATTGATATAACCCACCTGCCTCTTTATCAACCATTTTCTTGTGATTACGTATGATCATTTTTAGCCATAAACAACTTTCATTCCTTGATTACTATATTTATTTTGTTATGTTATTAGGAACAATTTATAGATGAAGGGCATGCTACAAAATTTTCTTCGCGATTTCGTGACTTGTTATTTCAACGCGCGTCTATTGAAGAGTTCAAAACTATGGTAAAATCTATAAAACCAAGTACTCAAGGAATGGAGCATATGCGTACTGCTTTTTTTGATAAAGTGCACAACGTTATTAAGTTGATTCAATCTCAATCAAACTTTGAAGAGCCCAGAATAGGTATATCTAACATTTATTTGTTCCATTAGATCCTTTTTCGATAGTTTAACCTGTATTCCTGTATTCTTATAATAGATCAACATTCAAATGAAGATATGCTTATCCCTGAAAATCTTAGATTTTGGCAGCTTATCATTGAACTAGGTGATCAATTATTTAGTTTGGTCGCAACAGAGTATGTTTTTTTCGCCAATTAGTTATTATCGCAATTATGAAATTAGATTAAAATGAAATATGAAGTTTCTATTTAAATACTAAAATCCATCGGTTTATTATAAATTCTACCTAAAGCTGACCTTAAACCTAAAAAAAAAAAAATTGCGTCCAAATTTTTGCATTTTTTGGTGGCTTGTCTATACATTATACAAAATTTCATTTTAATCTGATTTCATTTTAATCTACCAGTTATCTAATTTTTATTAACATGATTTAAATAGTTATTTAAAATATGAGGATGTTCTCTCAAAATTTTACTACATGGTTCATCCTAAACATGGTGAACACCATAAAGCAGTTCCAAAAGATAATACTTTGATCTGGCTACTGATTCAACTTTTTTGTATCCTCTATATATGTATAATTGTATATTTTTAAAATTTTATTGGCTATATTTATCTTGATAAATTTTATTAATGTACTACTTAGATTTGGATAAAGTTGGATCTGTGATTTCTGAAGACTTGAAGTCTGACGAAAGGCTGTTTAAAATGCTTATACAATTATACAATGAGCAACAGATTAGATCCAGGGATTCATTTTACTTACGAGACCTAGCTTTGCAATGCGCGGTAATTCCTATTGTGGCAGCTGAAGCTAAAATTCGCGATGTTGAGAATTGGACCTATTTTAACATAAGATTTTAAAGTTTTTTTGCAGTGCAGGTATAAGTTAGGATTTAGGTTAGAGTTAGGGTTGTCAGTTGGAATAACATTCTTGTGCTTTCTAGTTTAAACCCAAACCATCACAGGTTGAATCAATGAACATCGGGTGCATACCGGGAGACAAGTTTCCTGATATGTACCCGATAGCCTGCTGAATATCAGCAGCATATTGATAAGGTATCAGGAGGTAGATCGATATCAACAACATGACAGTAAAATATTGGGATATCCCGATAACTTGCTTTTAGGCTCAGAGTGCTAAGAGTAAGATATCAGGGTATTCCAATATTGTGCTGTTATGTTACCGATATCGATCTACCTCCTGATACCTTACCAATATATGGGGTTGAGTCAATAGAAACCAAGCAAATTTTTTTTAGTAAGTTTTTTAAACAAGAATAACTTAACAAAAACTTGATCAAATTTAATAAAATTTTTTTTAAATTAATTCTACAAGTTTGTAAAAATTATTTAAAAAAATTTTTATTAAATTTGGTTAAGTTTTTGTTAAGTTATTCTTGTTTAAAGTTATAAAAAAATTTTATTATAAAAAATTTGCTTGGTTTCTATTGACTCACCCCCATATATTGCCAATATGCTGCTGATATTCTGTGGCAGACTATCGGCTACATATCAGAAACTTGTCTTCCGGTATGCACCCGATATTCATTGATTCAACTTGTACATACTGGATTGAGTTTTTAATACTTTTCAAACTAGTTTGCTCTTTTAGAAACCAATCTAGATATTATATTGGATCTTAATACTCAAAGTTGGTTTTAGTTTACATAATTTCAAACCAAACCAAACCAATATATTGACAACATAGTTAGAGTTGTTAACAAAGGATTGTTGCACAGGTCTTATGTAACAACCCGTACTTTTTTCATTTACTTATTGATACGTCAGATACCGTGCAATAAAATAGTTATTATATGGGTTATAAAATAACTAAATTTTGCACGAGGCTACATAGCCGAAGGCCATGTAACTTAACCCGTGCAACTATAACGTATTGGATCAATATGTTTAGAAACCCCAAATCTCAGCATAAGCCAGCTGCTCACTTATTTATTTTTTTTTCAGCGTTATTCCGCAATTTTACATATTATAATTGGAATTTACTAACAATTATATTTAATTATAATTGATTATATTAGGTGACTTCCCAACAAAGTACTATACGTGAAGCATCCAATATCAAATATAGGCATCCACAACTTGGGGCCGCATTACATTATATGCAATTATTCCATTACATTAAAAAGGAATTTGAAAAATATAAAGGTATGCCATTGGATTTAATACATTTAAGTAATATTTATGAAATTTTAACCTTTATCCTATGTTCTAGCAAATGTGATGAAGCATGATTTATTTAGAAATTTACCCATCCAGGAAATGATAAAAATTTCTATTGCCAGCCAAATAAGCAAAAATGTTGTAGCTGATACTATATATAACTGTTTAGTTCCTGGTAGACTTGAATCAGGAAAGCTTGGATTTCCAGATGCAAAATTTTTAAAGGGTGGCATTATTGAATATAAATTACTAGACTTAATTAATGTCACTAGCAAACATAGGTATATTATTAATATTTATTTACAATTCGCTCATTTGTAATTATTAATAATTTATACTCTCTATTAAATGGTTTAATAATAGACTTATAGAGCTTATATATAAGATGAGCCTTGATGGAGATAGTGCCCCCAAATATCCTATAGATGTAACTGAACACAAAATAACATGTGTTTCGCCTTATGTTTTAGATGTACTCTATAAAACGGTCTATAGTGCACCTTGGGCGTAAGTAACAGTGGCATATAGTTGAAATCATCGTGTTTATTCGTTTTCTCACATTTAGATATTATTTAGTTTAGAAACATTAGTTAAGGAGATTCTTGAGAAGTTGAAACGGTTTGATAAGGCTACTAAAATACATGCTGAGGGGGGAACTCCGTTGTCTGAAACTGCTTTACGGTGGAAAGCATCTATTCTGCAGATCCTTTGTCATCGATTTCATAGGTAATATTTTAAATTTATATATACGATCATTTAATAATTATAATATTTATAATAAATTAATTTTCAAAGTTTATAAAAATCTCTCTTTTTTTTTTTTTTTTTAAGATTTTTGAAACATTCTGCAAAGGCTCCTGATTTATTACATTATATAAAGTATTCTGTTTCTTCTTTAGAACATAGACAAACATACCGTGATGCAGAATTGTTTGCTTTGCACATCATGGTGGTTATAATTCTATTTCTGGCTTTAATCATTCAAAACATAATAGTTAAAATATTATTATTGATGTTTTCATGTAGATGATGCAAACCGACGTCAAGTTTATCAAATCTTTGTCTGATTCAAACCGAGAAAAGCAAATTTGGTTTCCAGAATCTGAACTACTGGCAAGATATATGATATATACCATGGCGCGTCTGATAAAGCTAAGGTAACATTATTTTTTTTTAGCAAGATCCGCATTGTTTTTTTTTTAATATAGTTGATCACTACATCATAGTTTATTTTAGAGGTGTTGGCGACGTCCCAGATATGATTAATGTCATTCTAGAAATTTATCCACATCCGATTCAGTGGTCAGACACAACATTAAGCTTTTTCCCAGAACCGTTGAGAACGCAACTTGCAGCTCAACAATTGACAATGGGAATGACTGTTTCCTCTATCTCTTTTACGGATAAAGATGTGTGTATATATGCTCCATTGCGGATTTTATGTAATTTATTATTATCTCCAAATTTATAAACCTTTTATATTATTAATATACGTATATAGATGAATACCGCTTTGCAGGTTGGAAACCTTTTCAAACTGTTTATGGATCAGGCTCTTAATTCGGAGGACGAAGCGACTCTTCAAGAACATTACTCTAAACTTGAAAATCAACCAATATTCTTATGTTCTCTTTGGAAAATTGGTTGTGGCAGAAAAATTTTAAATCCAGATATGATGAACAGTAAATATTACATATATATATCAGCTCTACTTTGTTATCTTATTTTATGTACTCATTGGAATACAATTTTATTATTAAGCTCTGAGAAAAGTTTTACTAAAATTTCCTCCTTCCAGAATGGCAACTTATACCATGACACTAATTGACTTTATCATTGAAATGATAGAACGTGATCCTAGTGGCAATGGATCACCAGTGGAGGTGGTGAGATGTGTTTTTTATTTCCCTTTTTTTTTTATGTTGGGATTTTGCTTTTTAATATCAAAATTGTTATATATATTAAAGTGCTACAAAATGCTTGATGAATTGTTATGGAAATATCAAATTCTTGCATATGAACATGTTCTTTTCGCGCTTGTCAAAGGGCATAGTGAGGTTAATACAACAGCAATTGGAATCCTAGATTATTTATTGTTTAAATCTGAAGAGTTTTCTGGAAGGGTTGAATATTTTATATCCTTGAAATTTTCTCATCGATATTGGACTGAGGATGATCATCATGATAAATTAACCGAATATCTTAAAAAATATCCTGAATATTTTCAATATGAAGCATTTGCAATGGATGGCTATGAAACTGTGAATAAACCTTTGGAGCCATCACTGGTAACAAATATGCCGATTTATTATACAACAGCTATTCGAAGATCATTACCAATACTAGACATAGTAATTGGCAGATTGATTGAATTCGGGCAGCAAGAGATGCTTGCTAAGCTGCTTGATAAATATAGGCACCTTTATAGATATCATCAGACACCTCTTGCTTTCGTTAGGGATCTTTTGCATTATTATTATTCTGCTCCAGCATTGAGGGACCAATCTATTTCCACGAGATTAATCAAATTACTTGGTGAGTAATGCATATATAATTATCTGGTAGTGTTCAAACATAGAGAAACTTTTAGTTTCCCGTATATATTAGTAGTTCGTCCGATTCAGTCTATTAATTTAAAAATAGAATCGAATTAAAGTTCAATCTGAACTAAGCCTAGACCAAGTACTTGAAATTTAATCTTTATCAGTTCAACTCAAGATAAACTGAGCTAGCTGAATTTCACGTCTGAAACTTGGTATGAACTGAGTTCACTTGAATTGTCTAACACTCCTGCTATAGATGCACATAAATAGCCAGTTTTATATATAATGAACTTGTATTAAGTTTAAAATTAAGGATTGTTAAGTAGTTATGTAAAGTCTACCATATATTTATTTAGTCTCACCTATCATTTATTCAAAAACAGACTTCGATGAATACGATATTGACTCTCAGTTATTGCAATATGGATCCGGAAATGACGGATTTTTAGAAGAGCTTTTTGACATTACCTACTTTGAAAAAGTTTTCCGAAAATTGGCCGATTGTAAGATTTATTTATTTCATAATAATAATATTATTATTATTATTATTATGTATTATTATTATTATTATTATTATTTATTATTATTATTATTATTATTATTATTATTATTATTATTTATTATTATTATTATCATTATTATTTTTATTATTATTTTTATTTTTATTTTTTATTTTTTTTTATTTTTTTTTTATTTTTATTATTATTATTATTATTATTTTTATTATTATTTTTATTATTATTATTATAATTCATTGATTATTAACTCACATTCTCAAACATAATAGTAATGTCTCCAGATACGTGTGCCCCCAAAACCGATGACAAATTTCCAGAACGTCACTTTCGGGAAATTCCAAATCCTGTAGTACAGGCACTCCATATAGCTTGTATAGAAGTGCTTGCAACGCCAATACCACCTGATCAAATTGTGAAAGACTCGTTGGATATTATAACTTCTATGAATGGACGTAAGAATACGTCTGTCCAGCCTATGGTCATACATGCTATGGGCTTGTTGTACTCTTTCTTGCCTACTGAAGATTTCGCATATCAGATATTTGATAAGGTGGCGTTAATAATCACCACAGATCCTCATCTGAAAGAATTCTCACAACCTTTTAATTTGGTAATTACACTTATATTTTTTTTGCTCAAGCATTGATATGAAATGCTTATATTAAATTTTAAACAATAGATTCAACGCGAGCAATCTCAACCGTCATTATCATATTTATCATACCAATCAGATCCATTACAACCATGGCCATTTCTACCCTCAACACGAGCTTTTTCGGCAACGTTTCCCTATATTTTAAATGAATATGCGTCTAATCTTCATAACTTTGGCACAAACGTTGCAAACAGTCTTCTCACATTTACACATAGCTTATTGCATTACTCTAATATTGATGATACACAAATACTTCTTCACAAACTTTTAACTGTTGGTGATATTAATACAGATGTGCAAATACTATATTTGTGTGCTTTAGTTGGGCCTGTGATACATAGATTATTGGAAAATCAAATTTTGGTTTTAACGAGCGTAATTGAATATTCATTTGTAAATCTTTTGATTTTATTTCATTTCCAGAGAAGTCATTTAACACCACTTTTTTCATTTCTTTTTTAATGAACAGTATATATTGCACATCATTCAAGTATTGAATAATGTGACCTTAAATATGGAGTTAGTGAATTGCGGAGACACAACACTTGCTTTAGAACAAATTTATGATTTCTTGTAGGCTTTAAATTTTCAATGTGCTATATACATATATATGTATTATATACTCATATATTTGTCATCAAACTCTATTTTAAATCAATTTAGATATTTTGTAAGGCCTATTATAATAATTAATGATCCTAATACGTATGCAAGTGCGCAACAAACAATAAGGCTGATGAAGGCACCTGTTCAAAATCGATTGTTTGGATATCTTGTATGACTTACGGTAGGTTATTCTAATGAATATCCAACGAGGAATTAGGGTAAGCAACGAGGGGTCGTGCAGATGATGCATGACGTTAGCATAAAATTTTGAGCGTATTTATTAATTTCCAAGCACTATAGTATCTATAGTATTCACATATCAAATCTTCATCGTAGCTACTCGCCTATTTTTTTATCTATATGAACTTGATATTTGCGATTCACTCCAAATATTTGTAAAGACATATATATATATATATATGGTCCGATATGAAATGTAATAGTATTCCAACAGAGTTGAACCCACCGGTTTCAGATGAGTTTAATGTTTATCATTAAACAGTAGGGTTGATGCAATTATTGAAATATTACATGTTCTTTTATTAAAAAAAAATTACATAAAAAAGCTATCATTGCCTGTCAAGAATATCAAATTTCTATACACATTTTAACCAACTAAAGAATTGTGCTTAGCAAAAATTGATTATGACATTGCCATTTTGTTGGCTATCGAAAATGTCCAAAAGTTTATCACGGTTACACGAAAAAACATAACAAAAATTTATGTAAAATCGTATGATTCAAGTTATCAATAATATGGTTATAGTTGCAACTTTCGATATTTAATATATATTAATTTGCAATATATTAATATCATTAATTAAATTTAATAAAAAAATTTTTTTATTTAACACTGCAATATTCATGAGTATTGAAAAGATATAGCTACATGCTAATTAGGCATTCTCAAGTAGTTCAATAGATTGGAAAAAAATTATAACTAGGCAGAAACTGAATAATAAAATAAGTGAATTACCATTTTGATGAATAACATTTGGAGATGCAACCCATCTTTTTTTATAAAATTCTCTAATTAGCTAAAATTTTAAATCCAAATTTTTAACCAATCATTCTTCGCAATAATTTGAGCAACATTTTGATCACTAGTTAATCACATTGAGGAAACTGCTTGCGAATACTTAGACAGTTTAGAATATTATTCATAACTATCTCTCTAATAAGATATTTCAAAAGATGAAAAAAGAACTCTTATCACAAAAATATTCATTCTATTCTTATCATAACCTTAGGCAAAAACTTGAAATTCTCTGTACCAAATATACTTTTTAAGCAAAATTGTATGTATTTCTATTAGGGCATATCTAAAGATGGCCAGAAATGAGACAAAATTTGGTTTACATAGCAGAAAAATAATATTAATCAGCTTTAATTCAAATGTTATTCAACATGTTAAAATTTTTAAATTTTGCTAGTATAATTAATTAAAAAAAACAATCTATTTTTCTTAAATAAGTTCTTAATGTTAATAATTACTAATCAAAAGTACTGTATAAATGTATACTACTATTCACATAAAAAATTATATAATAAATCATATTTATATATCAGCGATTAATTAATTAGTTTGCATCCATGTTTGATTCAAGACTGTCACTAGTCAAAAGCTGGCAAATCAGATACAAATCAGGTATGCTATATTTAAAACTGATAACTACCTGATTGTTGCCAATTTTTAAATCTAACAGCCTGATTGATGCCAATTTATGGTGCAAATCGGCATACAATCTGGACAAAATCAAACATCAACCAGATATTAATCGGGCATTAATTAAATAGATTACAAAACTAAAAATATATACCCAGATATCAATTCGGGATACAATATAGTTTAATAGAATTATGTTGGGTTGGTTAAAAGTTTCTAAACAGGACCTTTTTGCTACCTTAGCTAATAATATATACTAATAAATAAAAGTTTTTTTATAAATCTGTATTGTATCTGCAATACATCATTTAGTGATTAACAGAAAGATCTTATATAAAATTTTAAGTAACGTTTAATATTAGTAAAGTTAGCAAAAAAAGAAACCTGTTTAGTGACTTTTAACCAACCTAATATACATATACTCGATGGTACATGTATCTGCATCACAATTAATATATACAACTAATAGTAAACATCATTCAAATTATAATTAATAACACTATTTTTAATAATATCACTATAACGCCACTATCTACTTTACTCTAACATAATCACTTAACCCTAGCTCTAGCTTAACAAATTACTTTAACCCTGTTGTAACAAAATCACTCAAACTCTAACCAAACTCAGTATTAAATTTGATCTGGTATGATTTTTACTAAATACTAGACCCAAATCTATTTAATATTTATTAACTACTACAGTTGCCTTTGAAGCTTTGAATATACAGTACTGTATCCATGAGGCTATAAACTTACCCTTTTAATTTTATGAACTAAAACTTTTACATTAGCATATAAGGGAAAGTAGTACCATTACATAATACCTTTTAAGTAATTCATTTGTACTATTTGCTTCATTTTTAATCGATAGAATTGAATTAATAGAACAAGTTTATAAACCCAGAGTATACTTACTTACTATCACATAATATCATTTAATTCATATAGGACCTTGCTAGAAAAATCACTCTTTGGAATTTTCTGATCGGGCTAATTCAAAGAAGTTTAGACCAGAATGCTGATTCTTATTCACGTGTAAATCACCTTTTGCTTTATTTATTCAATAGTTTATTAAAGAAACTGTTGAATCAGTAAAGTAAAAAGATGGTTTAAATATGAATAAGAATCGACATACTGGTCTGAACTTTTTCAAATTAGCCCGATTGGAAAATCCCGAAGGGTAATTTTTCTAGCAAAGATCCCATATTATTCACTTCATTCAGCTTGTGGATGAAAAGATCTTTAATCGACAGAATTAAATCAGCAAAACAATTCACAAGTCCAGACATAAATATTTATAACATTGTATAATACCTTCAATCGCATTATTTGTTTCATCTGGCTTGTAGATATAAAAGATCTATAATCAGCAGAATTAAATCAGCAAAACAACTTACTGTATAACCACGAAATAACACCTCTGCATATTATTTCATAGTTATATAGTAACACATAAATAATTACTTACAATTACATAATACCCTTCAATTAATTTCATTTGCATTATTCGCTTCATTTAGCTTGTAGATATAAAGATTTTGTAATAGTGGAATTGAATCAGCAAACCAATTTCACAAATTCAGAATATAAGATTAAATCAAATATCGATGATTTGTGCCAAGCAGCTATAACAACACTCTTCGAAAAAAAATACTTACATTACATAATACCCTAGATATAAAAGATCTTTAATTAGCAAAATTGAATTAGCAAAACAACTTCACAAACCCAGAATATAAATACTTATTTAAATTACATAATACTCTACAATTCAATTCATTCGTATTATTTACTTCATTTAGCTTGCGGATGTAAAGATCTTTAATCAGCAAAATTGAATCAGCAAAAACAAGTTCACAAACCTACTTACAATCACATAATACTCTTCAAGTAATTTTGTTTGC